AAATAGTTCTGTAAAACAGTGAAATGCCGCACAAAATTTCAAAGGTCTCTTATTTTACATTCGCATTCAAATAACCTCAATTACTTGAATACGTGAGTTATTAAATAGCCTCTTTATCCCCTAGATTGGCTCTTTTATGGCACATCGCCTCCGATGCGAGACTCAAGTGAAACTTTTTTCAAATGAATTGCTATACTAATACTCTCACAAACATCTAGAAGAAACGTCAGTTATGAAAAAGGTAGAAGAAAAGAGATAAAGGGCTTAGAGGTTTGCGGACTTTTGTTTTGCGAAATTTATTCTTCAAATACAAATTCGCTAAATGTAATTACTATTTACAGCGTTAGTTTATACTCAAACAAACGAAGCACTCTTTTTTAAGAGTATCTTCCGAAATTTTTTTTCAAATAAACTTATAGCGAGAATGGTGAAAACCTAAGTTGAACCCAATTTTATTTCCAGAAGACATCGACGAGAACGACTTGCGAAACGCATCGACACCCTATCCGCCATACTTTTTCCTTCTCTATTCTCCCTTTTCAACATTGCCTACTGGTCTCATTATCTGAGAGCGGACTGATAGGACAGATTTCGCTCCAGAGACTCGCAGCAAATGCGGAGTTCTTCTCTTGTATTACGGGCCGCTAACGAACCGCTGTCGCTATGCTCTTGTATGCAATTTACGCCATACCAATGAACTGCCATTACAAATGTGATATCCTCAGATGACACTTAAGCGCCAGAGTTAGATATGAAAAATTATTCTGTTCGTTCTTTCGGTCCCCAAATTATATTTCTGTACATTTCACCGATATGAGAATCATTCTGGAATTTTGTTACCTCATGTTCTGTTAAATCCCTGCTCAAAACTCACTTACTTTGTTGATACCTAACGAAGGCAGAAGAACAACGATTATTGCAAATATTATTGAATTTATATTATTTTTTGTTTATATTTTATTTGTTGTTGATAGATGAAGATTCTCAAGAGTTACCTTTTTCCTCACTGTCATTCAAAGCTGAAACTCGATAAAATACGTAACCAACCTGGACCGCTCGAGGAATATCATTCATTGGCAGTGTGCCAAGTGGAATAAGCCTGTCTGGAGCGATTTGGCATTGCGCTAAGAGATCGTCATTTACGAAGCGGCTAACCTCTTCAGTATGCTCTGGTTTTGCCTAAAGTTGGAAATCATAAAGACTGCTCATCTTCCTTCTAATCAAATAATTGGAAATAAAAAAACTTGAAAATCATTGTTAAATGTAAGAGTTAGTAAAGCTCCTTGGAAGGCTAACAAACCTAAGCACTATATTCTTAAGCATTTAATTAGGAGAGTGCAGCGCCATGATCTCTTCGTTTTCTTTTGTCTTATGCTTTATACTAACCCTTAAACTCGGCATTATCTTAAAACACTTAAAAAAATTTATTTGCTTTCTCACTGAAGAAAAGCTTTTCAATTTCTTGGTATATCTTTCCTAACAAATACAGCAGAAATTAACCTTCGTAAAAGAAGAGGCAAGGCACCAATTTTTCTTTTTAAGTGACTTGAAAAAGCCATTTTTTAACTCGGAGAAAAATGATGAGGTGAATATATTAAGGCTGGACATGTAACAAGTATTTTCTGCCTTTAGTTGTTTTCTGACATGTATATGAACCCTTTTTGAAAGAAATTCGCAAATATTACACACAGAAAATTATCTC